CACGTCACGGAAAATCACGTCATTTAGCTTGTTGGCCCTTGCGTGATTTAATCGAAAGCAATGGTAATTTAGAAGAGGAAGGAACAGCTAGACATGCTGGGGGATATGTAATACCAAAAGGAGGAGTCGGAGGTCAGAGAGGTTTACGCGGTAGGGCACTGGCGTTGCATCCATACATATAAGATCATGTACAAGAATTGTAGGTAATTAATATCACAGCGAAAGACAGAAATTACTATTATAATATTACCGTATCCACGTTACAGTATATGGTAAATATTCAAGAGCATAACGTTTGCACAGCTGCTATGAAATTTAATTATTTGTAAAACCGTGATGCTTTTAAGTAACATATGTTTCAACTTGCGATGCATTTTCGGTCAACATTCGACGAGGAATAATAAAGTCCTCAAATTCGGCATTAGGTGTAAAATGGGCGATATATCATTCGTTGACAATGTAAATAATGATTTATTATGTATGTTTGATTTATATGCACTTGAATGGTATGAAAGATTTTTCTTTCGTTATTTTGACGTATCGAGCTTTTCCTGTGGTACTATATGTGCTGAGCGTAAATTGAGAAAAAAAACGAGCATGTACACGTGCATGAAAGAAACAAACGTGAAAAAGAAAAGTCGATAAAGAATATTTGCATAAAATAAATATCTACGTGTATTAGTTAGGATTTATCGGAATCGTAATACTAGCCAGAACAAAAAGATCTAAGTATATTTATTTAGCGAAAAAATAGATTTTCAATTAATAATTATGGATCTTTGTTTTATGTTAACATTGTGAATAAAGACTAAATCTGTAGCAAGATTCTCGCAATTGCATTTGAGGCAATACAACTTAATAATCGTGTATTATATTAAATTGTTGGGCGCATTGCTTTTAAGATGCGGAGTAAATTATTATATTAAATATATATAATATAATAATTTAAATATAATAGAGAAAATGACAAGTTTTGCATGTTTCGAAAAAACTAAGAAATTTTTTATTATTCAATATAAAAGAAGCAATTTACTTTCAAATTTATTGCATATCATTTTTATATTTATACGAAACAGTTTTTCAAGTTTTATTCATAAGTACTAATTTACAATTTATAAATTGTCTAATAGCGATAATTAATTATATATATATATAAATTATCACACATATTCACTATCTTTGAAATTATATATTAAAATTCAAATTAAAATTGTATCGCTTTTGTGATACATTAAATTTTAAAGTTAAATTTGGCAGCTATACTATTTTTTTATCAATTATATACATATATATGCAAATTTACTCTTAAAATTAACATTTTATATTAATTTTACATATATATTATTCAGTTATTCCGAAAGTCTTGGAAGCAACGCGCTTTAAAGGAATGATTCTTACTATGTAGAATTCTACAATATGTTTGTTTTACTATGTATTTATCGGTATGTAAAGTACGAATGTAATCTTTATTAATATCGATACGTAACGATCTAAAAAAAACTATGAAAACCTGGAGATACCTTATGACTGACTGATTCTCTTCAGTTGTGTGGTATCTTAAGTGTTTTTTATCAAATTCGTCGGATAAAAAGTGTAAAACAAGTTTGAAAGAGATGCTATATTATTTGTAGACTTCCTTGAGTGGTTTCGAATCGAATACAAACAACAAAAAGCAAAAAAGAATTTAAAATGAAATGAGAATAATAAAATAACTGTACCCAAGTGCCGCAAAATAATGAGGTTCATTCATTAAACACGAGAATAATTGTATACCGTGCCTATTCTCACATCATGATGCTTCTTCGATTTGTTAACCGGTCGCAATCAAAAATACTCTTGTAAAGAAACGAATGCTATTTATTGGTGCACGCACGTAAGTGATTTTTTCATTTCCGTAATGTTTCTAACGATAATCAAAAAGAAAAAAAAAAAAAAAAATACGTATTTTTCTTGC